TCTCATTTCCACTCCCCAAACCCCTCTACTTCCCTGCACGCCTGCCACTCTGCACTACATGGCTCCCATACCCACGTTCATACCCACACACATACATCCCCACAAACCCCCATATGCAATCACTTCTGCATAATACAGCACAAACACACACAAATCAGGACAAAAATATATTTTTAATTAAATTAAAATATATTATTATGAGTGTTTCATTTTTAGTATGCATTTGTTTCCCCCCTCCTAAGACGGCAAACCCTCTTCCTCAAAGAAGTACTTCCAGGGACAAGGGGAGAGACTTCTGGTGGCAAAGGTCAGAGGTTAGGGGCAGGACTTCTGATCCCAAGATGGTAACCAGGGGATAGGGCACCTGCCAAGGGGCAGGGCTACCCATGCAGCCCTCAGCTTGCCAGAACTTGGTAAACTGCCCTCAACCTGAAATAATTGCCCTCCCCTGGCTTAAAGCCATTGGGAACAGGTTTTGAAACAAAGTGTTAAACAGCTGTACCTCATAAGCAATGGACAATCACTGCAGGTAACAATCAACCTAGGGAACTGTGAAATGGGCTTTGAGGAGGATGTGCCTTTTACAATGGGAAAAGAAGGATTTAACTTTGCAACAGTACAAATGTATGCTAGCCAACTTTTAACTAGACTAATTTGGACTAGCACTGCCAGAAAACTAAAAATGAAAGAAAAATATATAGCCAACAAATCACAAGGAAACTACTGGAAAGAACTGAGTGACTCAAAGGAGCCAGATCTCCCCAAAAAACTTGGGTATGATTGTCCATTACTTTAAAAGCCATGCATGAGGCTCAACAGAAAAATAATCTTTTAGAGGGATCTGAGAGAGGATGATGGGTATATCTGATACAGTCCAGCACAGATGCAGGTAGGCAATACTCAAACTATTTCTTGTTCTTATAATCAAGTAGCAACTTACATTTCATTCTATTCACCGTGTTAGCTCAAACTATTTGTACCAAACAGTTCTTGGTATTCAAAATACTGATACCTAAAACATAACAATTATTTGGCTAACAAGATTGCATTACCTACACACAAATTCATACTTACAGTGGTTCTTCCTTCTCACTTCTCTTACTGATAGGCAGACCCTCCTGTTCTTTCAATTTATCTACAGCTTGCGCTTGCTTTTCAAACTCATTAAAACTCTGGCTGCTCATTTTCTGTGCTCCCAAACCAGCTTTTTTGGCACCGAGCTTTATTAAAAGGGAAGAGAGAAACAGAGAGGCCTTAAGGATAACCATACTACAGTAAAAGCTGTTATCCGGAATCCCCTGGGAATGGGGGACGCCACTTAATCAAATATGCTGGTTAATCAAATACGCACCATCCGGTGCACTCCCTGGCGTCAGTGTGCCGGGGGACAGGGAGGGGAGCCCCACACAGGCTGCTTTGCCCCGGGGCCATGGTCCACAAGGAAGAAGTGAAGAAGAAGAACTTGGCTCGAGGCGGCGAAACCAGAATTTATGCACATTACTGGCATGTGTCTATGCAAGCACACCCTTCACATGCATTAAAAATGGTGAAATCAGGCTTACTGTGCCGAAATTTGATACCTGCAGGTAATAATTAGGTAACCCACATTAACTTTAGTGCTGTGTCTACACATGCGTTAGTGCTGGGTCTGCCCAGCTACTAGTGGCACATAGCAGGGATGCAGGGACTTGGCACTAAAGTTAGCGCACTAACTTTAGTGCCAAGTCTCTACATGTGTAGACACCTGCCAAAAATTGCTTAATATGCGTTAAATTTAGTTGCACTTTAAATGCATGTGTAGACATGCCCACAGTGCATCTAACCTTGTCACATTCAGATAAATGATGTACTGGATGTCACAAAAAGCAAATAGGTGCAATTGGGTTGATTTGTTACTGCAATTGCACTGACTGCAATTTTCAGTTTCTCACCTGTTTAATTTCTTAGCATTCATTTTTGTATTAAAATGGACACAATCAATTTAAAATCCCCAAATAAAAAACTGTATTTTTAAATACAAAAACACTATCCTGAAGGTACCTCCTACACTCTGATCCTGCAATTCACTACATGCACCCCTCTATGTACAGACCTATTCCTGTCATTAAGAGCCCACCTGAATATAGTTATTTGTATGAACTGCCACTTAGGATGTTTCTAAAATTTAGTGCTGGAAGAAAGGAGCAGAGGTTCCAGTCCCTGCTCTCAGGCCTGCTTTTCTGCTTTATCCAAAGAGTATTTAAGGTAAAGTACATGAAGCAGTCTTGAAAACAGAAACCAGAACCCCAGACACTTTGTAAGCTTAACCTCCAAAACTATAGCCCCAAGCTCCCCCTTAAGCCCACTCTTTATGGCCCAATTTATCTTGAGTTCTTTGCTGTGCAGCTTCAACAGGAGGGAGTGGAAGTACTCCAATGCAGAGTAACTCTTTCTTCCAGATGACTGGCCTACATACTAAGTTTAGGAGCTCATAAGCAGCAGTTGTACAAGTCACCGTAATCAGGTGTGCCCTCAATGATAGGAATCGGTCTGTACTATCACCTATGACCTGCTTGTTATGGCATTCTCTTGGGAGGTGGAAGATGTGGGTTTGAACACCATCAGGAAGAGAATGCATATTGAAAGAAGGGTGTTGAAACCAGGTCTCCAACTTTTTGGGTGAAACCTGTAACCTCTAGGCTGTTATATAGTGGGCACCACCATTCTTTTCTCTTCCTCTAGCCATATGTTAGAAAGAACTGAGCCCTGCTCCATCTTTAGAAGAATGAAGGTAGGTGCTTGTTGTCAAAGAGAAAACTCAGGGCTCAGGATTACAAATGAGCAAAGTCAGTACAATTGGACCAAATTATTTTGAATATATTTCAGTCATAATACTATTTATAAAAGTTTGATATTCTGTCATAAGTCACATCTCCCAACTGGTTTGAGAAAGACAGTTATTACTGGTGCAAAACTACCATCCCACAACATACCAAATATTTTTTACTTGGATAAATACAGTTCTAAATTACCATCTAAATGCTTTCTAAATACTATAACACACACACAGAATATGCATTAATGATGCACTTACCCCTTTTTTAACTTGATTTGGCTTCTTTTTTATAATGGAGGTGCCGCCCTCTGCAAAGATTAATATACATTACTTTAGCATATATTTTTATTAATTCCAAGACTTTCAGAAGCATATTTCCATAATTTAAATCTCAGGTTAAACTGAGACCAACTATAAGTATGTCACAATGTATTCCGCTGCCTTAGAAATATTTCTGTTTCCACATGAAGACATCTAGAACCCTGAGGTACTACTATTTTTTAATGTCTGAGACATCTTGTAAAGACTAAAACAGAAAAATAATTTAAGGCTCTGTTTTCAAATCTGAATGCCTACAAGTAAGCTCCTAAATAAGAACGCCACATTTGTGAAACACAGCATTCAAAGTTCCACCAAGTCCAATACCCTCTCTCTAACTCTCACCATAATTACAGTTTATATTTAATATACTTAAAATACATTACCTAATATTTCAAAAGTAGTTTGAACCTACAAACAACAGACATCAATTGAAGTGGCTTTGTTCAGCGCCTGTGAATATCTAGCTGTTTTTCTTTGATTAACTAAACATAACTTTGAGATAGTCATTAGTGTGCTGAAATAAACT